CTGTGCTTCTACCAAATCTAAACGTTCTAGGTCCACGGTGACAGGAGTTATGAATTTCCGTGCAAACAAACAAACAAACAAACAGACAGACAGACAGACAGACGCGAGCGCTTTATATATAGTAAGGATCCTAAGCTATCTGTTTTCGGCCTGCAAACTCTAACTATTTCAGACACGTTTCCTCTTATCTTTGAATACCAGAGCCAATAGCTCAGTCAGATTTCAAATAGATCAGCCTTTCTGTTATAATAAAAAAAGAAAAATGAAAGAGTTATTTACCTCGCTCAGCAGGGGCGGCGTTGCCCATATTTTTGAGCACTCGCAATTCAGCAGAAGCATCTTGTGACGCTCGAAGCATTTTTTCCTCATATTTTTTATTTAAAATAGTCTTGAGATTATCCGCCTCATCAAGCGCCTCTTTAAACCGTAATCCAAATATCGCTCCATGCTGTAAAGTAGGAGCCTTTGCGAAAACGGACTGCACCTCATAATTATTGATCTAATGATAAACACAAAAGAAACGGACAGAGAAGAAAAGTAAAACACAGCAATATCCCACCTCAGCTTTGAATTTCGCAAAATCATTTTGTTTGTAGATCAGTTTAGATAATTGTGCACAACGGTAGTAAAGGGTATACTGCCTCTCTATGTCGCCTCTAGCTACACGTGCCTCCTGTATCATTTTCTCGATTGATGAAAACATCCTGCAACACTTAATTCGCCCAACGGTTGATACATATTATTTCTTTTTCTTTCTGATATGAGACATTGACCTACCAACAAACAAAAAATACTCCACCCATGCCACTTCTGTTATCACGTTTTCGTACAACCCACTATTTTTTCCACTTTTTCTGGAAGTTTTATATTTCCTGAGATCAGCCTATTTTCGCGCTCTCTCAGGCACCTTACCACTATTCTGCGCTATAACTTTATACTTCGCTTTAAGTAGATATCTCAAAATTATCTCTAACTGTGCTTTTAATATTGTGACAGACTATTTTTCCATTTCCTAGCTTCGAGGGCATCTGTTTACAACAAATTCGCATTCATTAATCAATTTTTGCTAATATTTTCAGAATACGCCCAACCAAGAAAGGAAAATAAGTAAATTTCACTGGTTTATCACAAACGGAGTCAGGCATCATAGAGATGTCTTATATACTGAGTGATGTACTTGTTTCACTTACTAATGCTACAACGATCACTTATTTTCCAATCCACCATACCTGATCACGTAGTAACCTTAATTACTTTATCCCACCAATACAACACCCGAAAATGTGGGTGTTACACTTTCAACATGACATCTGCTTTCTAGCCCCATATATACCAGCTTGTTCTCATCTGGCCTTCCCCTTAATCAACAACCATATTCCGCTATACCCATTCTTATGGTGGGCACTTTCGTTTTTAATAAACACGTAGATAAAATCAATGAGTAGGGTGTTCACACACAAAAGATTTTCATGATGGACTTCGTAAGAAGTGATTTGTGAAAAGACATTTTTCGAAGTTCAGCCCTTAGGGCATCGGAAAAAAGTTATTTACACGTCATAAAAACGATGCTGATGTGGTACTCTAAGGATATTAAAAGTTTCATGATGAAATACTTTATGATTAAATGCAGAAACCAACTTTTCAGATGAATACGTCCTCAGTCTTGCAATCATTTCCTTCGATAATTCACTCGCTTCATTCAAGCTCTCAATCGAGCTATATGTCAAGACACACGACCCAGGATTTGCCATTGCGAAGCACAAAAACAGAAAGCAAAATATCTACGACCAAATCTTTAGCATGACCTCAATAATCTGAAATTGTTTTGTGTTATCAAACGGAAACCTCATCGAAGGAATGGAACTACCGGTAAGGATAACGATGGCGAAATATTGGAACTAAAATGGTAAAGGAGCATCCAAACTGACACATGACATAAAAAACATAATATATACGTGATATCAAATCATCTGGACATCTGATTGCTCACCGTATGACCATTATGCTGATCATGAGCAGGGAGATGGTCTACAACTCGCTTTAGGCGTCACATAAGATGTACCGTTGCTTTAACTGCACATCTTACTTCTTACTGCACGCGAATCATTTTGGAGTAGACTTTTCTACGAATTCTGGGATCAATCGGTCCTCATACTTCATAACTTGCTTCCTAGTGCTGCAAGGCGCTCGTACGGAAGAATGGGCGTTGCTTCTATGTGTTGGAATGTCAGTGGGGGATTGCAAATGAGTAGCGGGTCCGGAGAGGGTTTTGGTTATGCCTATGCTATCATACTACATGTAATTCACCTAAACGAAAAAAATGAGTTTAGTACTGGCACTCTGTTTTTACAGTAACTTTGCGGTGAAATAAATTGCAGTAGCTGCAGAACGTCACAGGCAATATACTTCCTTTGATGACAAGACCTTGTTAGAATACGCAAACTCTCACCCGTCTTATATACGACGCGTTGAAAGGAGATCTAGTCGTGACAAGGTGCCTAGCCTGATGTATGTCTCGCTCCTCCCTTTCGGTGGATTCCTGGATAGGTCGTAGCCCAGTGTTAGGCTCGTGCTGAAAGTCACTTATAGTTTTGCAGAGCGTAAAGTACGGTTCAATCCGCCCACGCTTTTCTGTCATTTACGGTGAGGATCCCCTATAACTATATCGTCACCGTCTGACGACTCTGTAACTAAACCCACGCCCCTCACAGCGGGGTCAAGCGAACCCGAGATAAGTGGGTCCGCACTCCTCTTCAACTCTTCCTATTGGGTTGTAACATAAGTTCGTAGAGTTTTCTCACAAAGATTTATT